GTTTTGTCTGGAGTTTTAGTAGTCAGGGCTCCGTGTCTGCTGCTGGATGAACAGTCTGTGCAGCAGAGCCCACTCTTCCAGGAATATCCTGGGGGTGCACCAAGGGAGTCCATGACTTGAGCTGGTCTCACAGCCCAGCAGAGTCTCCTCCTGGCTGGCTTGCTAACGGAATCATTAAAACTGAAGATCATGGACAAAGACTCTTAACTAGTCAAAAGTTAGAAAGTTTTATGTTTATTACACCGGTGGGCAGCACAGGGGAGTCATTCTTGAAATGTGTGACTGTCGCACACATCTTTTGTGGAAATTCCTTTCCTTAAGATATTTCCTCCTGAGAAGCTGAGAAGCCTCAGGAACAAAATGTAAACATTGATTATCTGCTGCTGTGGAATGCAACAGGTGCATCTTTGACTGGCCCGTGTTGCATGTTTGTAATTAATGGCCAATCACAGTCCAGCTGGCTCAGACACGGAGCCTGAGCCACAAACCTTTGTTACCATTTTTTCCTATTCCATTCTTAGCTGGCTTTCTGATGAAATCCTTTCTTCTATTCTTTTAGTATAGTTTCAACGTTATATATTTTATAAAATAATAAATCAAGCCTTCTGAAACATGGAATCAGATCTTCGTCTCTTCCCTCATCCAAGAACCCCTGTGAACACAGTCACAGATGGTGACCCTCGACTGAGGAAGAAATCATCACTGGTGAGACCCCAGACGAGCATTGCTACACTGGGTAAACCCCGAGTGTGTGGCATTGATGGTCACCTCACAAGTGACCACAGAAGTGGATTCTAGCCAGGAGCTGAAGAACTGAAGATCCTGAATTTGGATAGAGTTCACAGCCAAGGCTGGCCACAAAGAGAACCTTTTGAAAATCCTCCAGAGAAGATGTCCTGAAAGCCTAGCAGCACAGAGCAGAGTCCTGGAGCCTGGAGGACACTGTCACAAGGTACTGTTAACTCTTCCCTTCCTGACGATGCTGCCTTTCACAGAATGTGGCTGCACATGTGGGCGGGGGTGTCCACGGAGGCAGAGGTTCCTTTCTCCCCCTCAGAGGAGAAACTTACTGGCCTCTGTCAAAAATGGGGTGGTGAGGACAAAGTTCCTACGCTGAAGAGACATTTCTATGAATTTTTCCGGTGGGCAAAGTTCCACGTACTAATTAGTTCCTTGTACTAATCAAGGGCATAGAGCACATTTTCACGAATGTGCTCTATGCCCTTGATTAGTACATATGGGAATGCATGGAATTCATTATTATGGCTCAGTGTCAGGATTTTGGATACCCTCGGATCTATCCGTCATTCAAAACGCTCTTCCCAGTTGTGAAAAGGAAAGCAGCTTCATTTCAGTGGATTGCCAACTGCATGGGGCAAGTCCCGTTCCCGGATGAGGACCCTCTGCAGGAAGACGACCTGCTGCTTCCCAGTCCCCCTGAATCGCAGCGGGGGAGGGCGAGATTTCTCCCGCAGCCGAAGAAGTTTTTTTTCCTGCATTTTCGGGGCACGCTCAGACGGAGCCGCTTTTTCTCCCCCCTTGTTGCTCTCAGAGGGGGTTTGAGTGGGCTGCACCGCCCCTGGCAGCCCCGCCCGCAGCTCCGCCGGCTTCTGCGCCTGCGCGGCCGACCTCCGACACACCGCTTCCCGCGGCCGTGCCGGTGTTGCTGGGCAACGCACTCGGCGACAGCAGCGACCCGGCGCCGCCCCCGCCGCCTCCCGTGCGGACTGCACCGCCTTCTCTGACTGCGCTTCCGTGGCCGACCCCAGAGCCAGGGGCAGGAGACGCTGCCGACCCCGTGCCGTCCCCGCCAGCCCTTCCCGCAGGGGCAGAGCGCGCGCCTGCGCTGCCGCTCCTGGAGCCGAGCGACACAACGGCGGAGTTTTCCCGCGCACCCCTGCTGCCCCCGCCGCCCGCCCCGGCAGCTCTGCCGCCTTCGGGGACTCCGTCCTCCGTGTCTGCGTCAGAGGCTGCCCTGGAACCGGCGGCATGTCCGAGCTCGGACCGTCCCGGGCCGTTTGCCCTTGCGGCAGCGGCTCCAGCAGCCGGCCTCTCCTTCCGTGGAGCGGCTCGGCAGCAGAGTGCGGGCGCAGCCCGGCTGCCGGCTTTCAAGCTCAGCGTTCTTGGCGGGTTGGGGGTGTTTGATCGGTGGTTTCCCTTTGGGGGTGCAAATCTCTCTGCCGCCCCTCGCGTGCCCCAGCGGCGAGGGGGAGGGGGGCTGCCGAAAGTTCTGCCTTTGGTCCCCAGCCCAGAGGGGGTGGGGGTGGTACCGGGAGGCAGATGGGAGGAACACATTTTGCATTTCACTGCAGAGGAAGAGGGAACGGCAGAAACCCATCATTGCTTGCTTGCTGTGGGGAAAAAACATTCCCAGACCCGAGATGAAGATTCTCGGGGCAGCTTCAATTCCCCCACTGCTGGCATGCCTCGGTGGGTTTGGGGGCAGGAAGCGTTTGGTCACCGGTGCTGCCATTGCGCTGGCGGCAGGGCGCTGGTCTGTGACAAGGCAGAGCCCGCCTGGCGGGCTGGGCCTGCGCTGTTTGGCTCGGTTCCCTGGGCCAGGGCCACCGCCCGGTCTCCTGTTGGGTTTGGGGGCTTCGCTTCCCCCGTCAGAACCTGGGCCGCTATTTTGTGGGCCAGGTCTGGGGTTCCTGATCCATCCAAGAGGGCCAGGGTCCCCCAGGGCCTCTCAGGCTGTCTGCTGCTGCTGCTCTTTCAGAAAAAAAAATTAAATAAAAAGGATTGAAAGAGATGGCAGCAGCTCAAAAGCATTGAAGAGCCAAAAATTAGCGTCAGCCCAAGATGTTCAATAAAGGGCTGTGGCCAAGACATTCCAGAAATTCTCAAAAAAATTGCTTGAAATTGTTTGATGACTGTCAGTGGATTTTTGGTAACTATTGATGGATTTTTCTGTAGCGTTTGGATTTTCTTTGCATTGTTTTTGTATTTTCTTATTTTGTAAGATTGTTTTAGTGATATGATAGAATTTTATGTTCTACATTCCACACCAGCACTTGACTGAGGCTTTGATTGGCAACAGATAACCTGTCAGGTGTTTGTTCTTTCCTCTGCATGAGCCCAGCAGAGATAATTACAAACACTTTTCTTTTTAATTTAACTAAATAAAAAAAGGTGACATGTCACAGACATCTTTGTGAAAATCCTTTGCTTAGGATTTTTTTTCCTTCTGAGAAGCTGAGGCCTCAGAAACAAAATGTAACCAATGGTTATCTGCTGCTGTGGAATGCATCAGGTGGATTTTTGATTGGCCCATCTTGGATGTTTACAATTAATGGCCAATCAAGGCCGAGCTATCTCAGAGTCCAAGAGAGCTGCCTTTTGTTATCATTCTTTTCATTCTATTCTTAGCTAGCCTTCTGAGAGGAAACCTTTCTTTCCATTCTTTTTAGTTAGTTATAATGTAATATATATACAATAAAGTAATAAATCAAGACTTCTGAACATGGAGTCAACATTCTCGTCTCTTCCCTCACCTGAAGACCCCTGTGACCACTGTCACGGAGGGTCCTGATGTCTGAGGGAGGGGTCCTGAGGGGGGTCCCAGTGCATGAGGACGGTGAAATTTGGGGTTCCCGGTGCTCAGGGGGGTCCCAGTGGGTGCCCAAGGGCGCCGTGTGACACAGAGAGAGACCCCGGTGACACCAGGGACCCGCACACGGGGGCTGGGCCAGTCCTGGTGACACTCGGGGGGCTCTTGGTGGCACAAGGACCACCCAGGTTCTCCTGCATGAGGTCCTGGTGACACGAGAAGCTGGTGGCACTCGAAAGGCTCTTGGTGACAATGCAGCGCTGTGGCACTGTCATGGTTTAGCCCTGGCACAGAGCCAGTGCCCCCATGAGAATACCCTCTCCCTGGTGTCTGCTGTGAGATGTGACCAGGAATAAGCAAAGCAGGGCTCCTGCTTAGAAATAAAGAAAACTTTATTACCTAAACTACAAGAAAAGAAGAAAGAAAAAAAAAAAACATAAGGGAAAAAAAAATGAAAACCTTACAAAAGCACTTTCCTCCTCCCCCCCACCAAATTTCCCAATGCAATACATTCCCCCAAAATCACCAACTCTCAGTCCGGCACCACCCTTTAGAATACTCAATCTTCAGTTCATCAAGAGGAGAGGAGTCCTTCTCGCACCATAGGCTTCCCCTGGAAACACGTTGAAACCTCGTGTGCTTCCCTGTCACTCAGCACCGCCCGGAAAATCCTTTGCCATCGTGACACCTTCCTTCCATGCCCCGTGCTCTCACCACTGCGCATGGACCAGAGCTGCTTCTAGGGCTGTCTTTCAAGGGTGCCTTGTCTCACTCCAAAAAGGCACAGTCTCTCCTTCGGGACATCCGTCCCCCTCAATTTTTCACCCCCTGGGGCTGAGGGGTACCCACACTGAACCCTCCTGGTTCTGAGGCACTGCCTCCCCCTAAATGCAGTCTCTGTGTCACAGGAAAAAAACTGGTTCAGTCTATGGCCACACAAGAAAAGTCCAGCCAGAAGGCCACTCTGTCATCTCTCCCCCCACTCAGCCAGTCTTCTCCACTTCCTTCGGGCCTATCTTTTCTTATCTCATCTCTTATCTCTCTTCTCATTCAGCTCCAGGAGGATCAGCATTTTGCAATGTCTCAATCATGCAAGAAAAGGGTTAAAAATTTCAGTCTCTGCCTGTCCCATAGCTCTGGAACTTCCATGCTGCTCTGGCCAGGCACTCCCCCCGCTTCTCCTCCTGGGCCAGACCGCTATTGAATTCAGACGCCTGGTCGGTCGCGCTCTCTCTCTCTCTCTCTCTCTCTCTCTCCCCCTCTCTCTCTCTTCCCTGGGGGGAGCTGCCTGATGTCTCTTCCTCTTGGTGCTCCTCCACCCTTCCATCCTTGGGCTGGGCCTCCCTCATGGCCACGTGGCTTTTCCCCTCGCCCAGCCGGCAGCTGGGACAGGGGGAGAGATGCAAAGTCTTTCCCTACGGAAGTCCAAAGAGAGCTTGCCAGGGGTGCAGCTCTGGTTTTTAACCCCTGTTTTTCTCAGAGGCGGATCCTAAAATCTGAGCACCCATTGGCCTGATGGTAGTGACCACAGCATCCCAGAAATCCCATTTCCAGTCCAACCACCACAGGCACTCAAGGAGCTGGTGGCACTCGACTGTCCACAAGTCTCTCCAGTGACATCACTGCACCAATGACATCACAGTGGTGACATCACTGTCTCTGCAGCAGTCTCGGGATGTCCTTGATGGCTTTTTGGCACCGCTTGGCCACTGCGCGGCTGCCGGGGCCACCCGGGCCACCGGGGCCACCTGGGCCAGCATAGGGACTCAAGAGGAGGTTGTGGATATCCCACAGCGTCGGCAGCAGGTGATGCGAGGCCAGGCGGGCGCTGCCCTCCCACAGACGCTCAAACTCAGCCACGTCGGCCACCAAGGCCTCAAGGATATTGGGGGACATCTGCTCTGGCCACTTCAGGGTGTCCTCAATCTCCTCGAGCTGGGTCTGCATGTCCCAGGTGAACTCCATGGCTTTGTCACACGCATCCACCAAACGCTTCAGCGGCGCCAGGGCCACCACTGCCCAATGTCCCCTCCAGGTGGCCACCCTCGCCCGGCTGCTGGCCACCACGGCCTCATCCATGGCCTCGCTGGTAGCTTCCTCTTCCTCACTGGTGGCCGCTGCCACCTGAGCATCGTGCGTGGCCCCTGCCGAGGCCCCCTCGACCCTGTCCAGGGTCACCGGCAGCCACCAGGGTGTGGCCTCCAGGTTGTCCCCAGGTTGTCCCCTCTCCCTGAAGGTGGCCTTTAACCACAGGTGCTTGGCCCAGGAGGGGGTCGCGTCCCAGCAGGTCTTGCGCAGCTCATCTGCCTCCTCCTGCAGCCGGTCCCATCTCTCCCTGAGCGCGGCCACCAACTCCTGCCAGGCCGTGGCCGCGGCTCTCACATCGGCCCAGTTGGTCCCAGGGGTGGCCCAGAGGGCGGCCAAGGCCTGGCCCAGGGAGGGGACACCACGGTGGCCCATGGAGGCGACATCGCCGTGGTCCAGGGTCTCACGGAGGCTCTGGGTGAATCTCCTCAGGGCCGCGGGCAGGAACTTTGGGGACACGCGCTGCCGCACGTCCCTGTGTGACCCGGTCACGGTGGCCGCCACCTTGCCCAGGGTGGCCACCACGGACACCAGCGCCTTCAGCAACTGGGGAGGGGACAGGGGATGTGTCAGGGGCCTCGAGGCACTTGTGGCCGCCTGCAGGGGCCCTTGTGCCCTCCCGGGGTCCCCTCTGTCCCTTTGTCATCCCCTCGTCCCCACTGCCACCCTCGTGTCCCCCCCGTCCCCCCCTGCCCCCTCCTCCTCCGTGCCCCCTCCCCTCACCGTGTCCTTCTCTCCCCACCCCCCCGCCCCCGGTCGCACCTTCTGGTTCTGCTGGCTCATTGGGGACCCGGCGGGGACACCTTGGGGACGCTCCGGTGGCGAAGGAGTCCCGGGACAGGCGCCGGTCCCGGCCCACAACCGGTCCCGGCGGCGGCGCTCGCGGAAATGGCCGAGCGGGATCGGGAGGCGCCGGAAGGGGCCGGGGCCAGAGGGACTGACGTCACCGTCCCGCCCATCACAAGTACCGCCCCAATCCATGGGAAGCACCAGATTGGATTCGGGAGATTTTTAGGCTGAATCCCAGGGGGTTTAGGCTCCATCCCGCCATTTCCAGGCGGATTAAATCCGCCGTTCCCGGCTGGATTTATGAGGGAACGCGGAGCACTCTGAGGAGCGGGCGGAACTGCCCTCAACCAAGATGGCGGCGCTGCTTCTCTCGCGAGACTTCTGGCGAGAAGCGGGGTGGGGGCGGTTGGGAGGGGATTTGGGGGAACCTGAGGGAGAATGGGGGGTCCTGAGGAGATTTGGGGGGGTTTGAGGGGATGTGGAGAGTTCTGAGGGGGTTTGGGGGGTTCTGAGGGGGCGTGAGAGGGTTTAGGGAATCCTGAGGGGATCTGGGGGATCCTGAGGGGATTTAAGGGGATCTGAGGGGAGATTGGGGGGGTCCTGAGAGAGAACTGGGAGCGCTGAGGGGATGTGAGGGGGTTTGGGGTTCGTCACGGAGAACTGGAGGTTCTGAGGGAGAATTGGGGGTATCTGAGTGTTATGAATAAGAAGCTTGACTAGGCCAATATTCAAGCAGCAATCAATTTATTAATTAATATCGTAAAGTATGAGCAATACAGTGCTGGGTACAGTGGGGGAAGTTTTCCCTCCAACTGCACACCAATAGTTGAGGGTTACAGGTATTTATAGGGGTACTCATAAGCTTTCTCACCAGTTTCTATTCCAATTTTTACTCATCAGCAGTTTCTACTTCAAATTTTTACGTCACAATTCTATACACTATTGTGATTTAGTTTTTCTCAGGATGTATCCCAAAAGGATTATCCCCAGATGGTGGTGGTCCAGTTTCCGAAAGAAGAAAGACGAATACCATATGATGAAGTCCAGCTCCCCAGGTGTGGGTCCACCCTTTAATTGCAAAGACTATAAATCTCCTAACAGTGATGTTCAGCTTCCCTTGGTCGAAACTATAAATCCTTCAGCTGATGTTCATCTTCCTTTCTCAAGCTGCTTTTCTCTGCTTTATTAAGGCGTGAGATAAGCATGTTTCCTTTATATATATTCCAAAGCTATAGTTTCAGGGATACAAGCAATATTCTAAAATTATACTTCAAAAGTTTATTTTTGCAGAAGTCTTTGAGGATTAACTACAAGCAAAAAGCAACATCCTTAACACTTTAATTCCAATGCTCCTAAATCAACCAAGGTTAATTGCAAAAAAAAGATAGGTTCAAAGGCTTTCTTCCATGCTTTACTTTCCTCAGTTATTATTAGAATTCGCAACTGTCCCATTGTCGGTCTCCACACATATCACAATCACAAATACACACATTGCCTGTATGTACCTGACACGAAACACAGCTTTGTATTTCACACCCTGACAATGGTTGCCCCATCATAAGGATCACAGAATTTGCATCTCCAAGCTCCCACCTGAGGTTTCCACCTGCAGTTACATCCCAGGCCTGTTTTGCTACATCCGGAGACCAAAACCTATTAAAAAGGGCTCAAGTTCTATTCTGGTGTTGCTACTTCCACTGATACTCACAGACTACATGTGTCCTACTTGTGGAATTATCTTGGGGGCAGCTTAAAAATAAGGTGGCAAAAAACTTATCCTTCCCCCTGCTTTACAGCCTTCAAAATCCTTTTGGTAATTATGGAAGGAACACCTTACCCAGCTACCATTAGTGAGCTTAACATGTGTTTGATTCCATCTGCCTTGATATCTGGAACAATCATAAGGAGAGCAGCTGGTGGTCCAACAATCTAAACCTAGTCACAAATGCTTTTTCACCACATATATGTTTCCTATTCTATTTAGACAATAAATGCCTCTTTCAGAAGAATGAAGCTGCCATGGGCTTCCTTCTGCATCCCAAAATCCTGTTCCATTATGGACCTCACTCACCCACCATTTAGGTACTGATGGTGGGTACTGACCCACCATTTAGGCTTGACTGGGCTGGCCACCCACGGCCAGCAGACCCACCGCAGACCCTGGCCCTCTGCAGAGCCAACAATTGCTAAGGTTAAAGGTTCTTGCTGCTTCTTCTCCCAAGGTTAAAAATTATTTTCCCACTTTTGCCCCCAACCTAACTGACAATATAAGTGTAAGATTATTAAGAGAAACATTCTAAATGTGTAGTCTAATCTCCTAACCGAATTTTCACGTTCACGTTTTCTTCCACACCACCTGTGGTGAGAGAAGGCACAGAAACAGCTTAACATAAAAACAACCAATGACAGTGAGGATTGGCCCCCAGTGAGTGGAGATGGGAGAGGAGGGATGCCCACACAAACTGTTTCAGCAGGCAGCCTGTGGGGAGGCACACAGGGCTTCCCCCGATGTCGCCGCACTGGCTGCTGCTCCATTCCGCCCCTGCGGAGTGTCGGTCGCGGCTTCCCATCCTTCTCCTCCAGCTGAGATGTCCAAACCTCCGGGGCCTCAGAGACCTTGACCCGAGTGTGATGGGTCCACCCGTGTTCAGCTGCCTTGACGGCTGTTTCTGTGGTCAGCAACGCTTGGAAAGGTCCACGCCACTTCACCACCAGGGTGCTTCTTTCCACTCTTTAACTGGGACCCAATCTCCCGGCTGGATGTTGTGAACAGCAAAGTCCAAAGGCAGGGTCTGTGCCACCTGAGCTTCCTGTCGAACAGATTTCACAAGAGACAGTATCCTGGCCACATATTGTTTCAAATATACATCACTTATCTCTATCCCCCTACTAGGCTGAGAATTACAAGGGTAAGGAATTCCAGACATTAATTCAAAGGGAGATAATTGAATATCTCCCCTGGGTCTGGCCCTTATTCTTGCCAAAACCAGTGGCAAGGGCCGTACCCATGGCATCTTAGTTTCTATCACCAGTTTCAGGAGGTGTTTCTTTATCTCTCCATTCATCCTCTCAACCCACCCGAACTCTAGGGGTGCCAGGGGGTATGGAGGCTCCATTGTATCCCTAAAGCAGTCATAACTCCTTGAAGAATTTTTCCGATAAAATGAGTTCCTTTATCTGAGTCTATTGCTTCCACAATCCCATATCTTGGAATTATTTGTTCCAAAAATACTTTAATAACTGATCCTGTAGTTGCTGAAATGGCTGGAAATGCTTCCGGCCACCCTGTTAACTGACACACTATTACCAGAAGATATTTGAACCTTGCCACTCGAGGCATTTCAGTAAAATCCACCTGGCATCTCTGGAAGGGACGTACAGCCCAAGACCTCCCTCCCCTGGCGAGTTTCTTTGTAACTCTGTTATTGGTTTTAGCACAAACCAAACAACCCTCAATAGCTTGCTTTAGCCAGAATAAAAAGACCCACAGCAGCACACGTTTTGAGGAAGGCTTCTGCCAGTCCTCGGGAGCCCCAGTGACTCTTCATGAAGTTGTTTTAACAATTGCAGAGCCAGAGCTTTTGGTATCCACTGCTTACCATCCTTTGTGAACCAATTATCCTCTCCTTCCTCTGCCCCACTCTTTTATCCCAAGTTCCTCTGGTGGAAAAGACAGTTTCTCTGGCAGTGGTGCAGTTACTGGGAGCAAAGGGAGCATCTTAGAGCTTTTTGGCAACAATGCAGCTTTCCCAGCTTCTTCATCAGCTAGTCAGTTTCCCGTTGCCTCTTCTGAGCACCCTGCCCCGTGCCCCTTGATGTGTATTATTGCTAACTTTTTTGGCAAGTTCACCACCTCCAATAGGTGAGAGATTAAGTTCTCAAGAGATAATGTCTTTCCCCTGCAAGCTCATAAACCTCTTTCTTCCCATAATTTTCCAAATGCATGTATCACCCTGTTATCTTTGCCCAATTATCCCATCAAAAAAAACCCCAAACAATGTTTGAGGTAGCAATATAATTGAATAGTTTAGAAAATATTTAAAATTGGATACACTTGAAATATTGACAATATAATTTGGTTAAAAATAAGGGATATTTTTTTCCAATAATAGCGCATAAGCAAAACAAAAATAACCGCGCAGGGTACGGAGTGCGGGGTTCTGGGACCCTTGCCACCTTGCGTAGGAGCTTGCCAGGTGAAAATTCCCCCTTTTGTGCCATATGTCAATGCTATCTCCTCCCATTTTTGATTCATCACACTTCTACCTCCGCCATCATCACCACCTTTACCGTGCATGCTCCACCACTCGGTTTGGTGGTCACACCCGTCTTTGGGGGTCGCCACTGATGAAGGCCTCTCCTCTTCCTCAATGTCCTTTAATTCACCTTTGGGCTCACGTGCACACCAAGCCAGTACAATGTGAGCCAAAACGAACAGATTATTATATTTAAGCATCAAAGCAATAAATCTCTTATAGAGGGGATTTTCCTGGGACCTAAACAGATTTTCTTTTCTTTCTGTTAATTTTTAGTAACTGTTATCTCATCCTTTTTCCTGCCTTGAATATCTGCAGGAAAGGGGGGGGGGGAATGGAACCCCTCCGCTCCCTTTCTTGGCAGTACACCTTTTAACTCTTTTATTATTGCCAAATATTAATAACGGTATCAATATTGATTACTGTTTCAATTTTGTCAGCACGAATCATACCTATTTACCATACTTCTCATTATCTTGCTCTGAGTTTTTGGGAGTTTTCTGCCAGAAATCTCTCCCTTCCCCCACTCATCCACAGGGGTTTGGGGCGGTTTTCCCTTTTAGGGGGAAATCAAAGCGATGCCCTGATGCTCCTAATTGCGGGCAGGAGAAGTGAGGCTCCAGGGCTTCCCGCTGAGCCGGAGCCACCGGAGCCGCAGTGCCGGGAAAGCCGTGGCGGGAGGTGCGGAGAAGTTTGTTTGTGTTTTCAGCTCAATCCCCCTCGGGCCCGGGCCCGTTCCAGGGCTGCTCCTCAGCTCCGGCTCTGCCCTCACGCAGCCCGGGGGGCCCTGAGAGCGCGGGGCGGGGCTGTGCCGTGTGCAGAGCCCGCCCCTGTCTGGGATTGGGCGATGGTGTCGTCAGTCGTGGTTGTGGCGCGCTGATTGGTGGGAGCGGGGCGGAGCAGGGTCTCGGTGGCGGGCTGAGGGCGGCCGTGGCTGGGCAGCGGCGCCATTGTCGGAGCGTGTGTGCGGTCCCGTGAGCGGCGGCAGCGGCCGGAGCGCGGTGAGGCGGCGGCGGAGCTCGGAGGCGGCCGCAGCGCAGGTGGGAGCCGCGCTGGGTTGTGCGGGGGCTC